GGCCTTTAGTAAAATTTTGGCGTGCTAACGGGATTTATATTGTGCTATATTTAGACAACGGCTGTATATTTTCACATTACCTGGAGGTAGCTACACATCACGCCACAATAATTAGGCAAACTCTTAAAGATTCGTGGTTTTGGTGAACAGCACATCAATTTGGGACCCTGTCCACGCCCTGTGTTGGCTGGGGCTAAAATGGGACTTGACGAAAGGTTTTGTCGCAATCACCGAGAAAAGAATTACTCAAAATTTACTCTCGACAATTAGTAGTTTCCTTCAAAAAGCTCCTTACATAACACCGCGCGTTTGCGCTACCATAACCGGGCACGTAGTATCCATGTCAACAGTGATCGGTAATTTAACCAGACTAAACACAAGATATTTGTATCAGGTAATAGACGCAGCCCCATCTTGGAATAAGCGCATTAATATTGGTAAGAATAATAACGCTCTAGAGGAGGTTTTTTACTGGAAAAACAACATTCAGAAACTTTAACATAAGATATCTCAACCCATACAAAATTCCKCGGGCACTGTGTTTTTCGGACGCCAGCAGCTTTGGATCAGCGGCGGATTTCTTGATAAATGTGTCTTCGCATGCCATAGGCAATGGAACGAAACRGAATGTAAACAAAGCTCCACTTGGAGGGAATTGAAAGCGGTTCATTTCTGTTTGTTGTCTTTTTGTTCGTCCCTAAATGGTGATTCAGTCAACTGGCAACAATATAACGTTTCATCCTATTTGGATTCCTCGTGAGCAAAACACAACGGCCGACTTAGGCCGTAATCTGTGATCGATTATCGTTCAAAAAAACTGAAATCACAGATGGAAAAAAAAAACTTCACAGATCTAAAGTTTTTTACTTACTGAATGGATTTCTGCTTCTTGGCGCTCTCTAGATGCTGCTGTTTTTGAGTAATCGACGTGGAAATTTTGAAAATCGCCGTCACCGTTTGTTTTGGCCGCCATCTTGTTTTGAGCATGCGTAGTTGTCATTTTTGGGTAGGTACTTGGTGCACTTTGCATTTAGTGTATCGATGCCCAGAGTTGGGATCCCTGTGTTTCGTTTTATTTCTATTAAAATTGTTCGTTTTTTTGCTGTATTTACCGCATATTGCTATTAAAGGTATTTTCTAAATTATTAGTATATCCAGGGGCGGATCTAGCATTTTTACAGACTAGTTTCCAACTAAAAAAATAATGTATTGACATATGCTAATTAATTAAAACATGAATATTTATAACATCGGCCTGAAAAAAACCAAATGTTTAAATAAATGTGAAATGTTGTTTTTTTTTCTGTCGGCAAAATNAAATCGCCGTCACGTTTGTTTTGGCCGCCATCTTGTTTTGAGCATGCGTAGTTGTCATTTTCGGGTAGGTACTTGGTGCACTTTGCATTTAGTGTATCGATGCACAGAGTTGGGATCCCTGTGTTTCGTTTTATTTCTATTAAAGTTGTTCGTTTTTTTGCTGTATTTACCGCATATTGCTATTAAAGGTATTTTCTAAATTATTAGTATATCTTACCTTTTTCAGATGAAGATAAGGGTGACAAGATTTATTGTATAAAATTATGTTCTGAAGATGGAAAAACTTGAAGAAAATTAGACAGTACTTTTTAACGCGGGAATACGTCTTTAACAGGGAAGGCAGCCTTAAACACGGGAAGTACTCTTTAACACGGGAAGCAGTCTTTGACGCGGGTATCGCTCTTCAACACGGGAAACAGTCTTTGACGTGGGTATCGCTCTTCAACACGGGAAGCAGTCTTTGACGCGGCTATCGCTCTTCAACACGGTAAGCAGTCTTTGACGCGGGTATCGCTCTTCAACACGGGATGCAGTCTTTAACAAGGGAAGAACTCTTCAACACGGGAAGGAGTCTTTACTGACACGGGTATCGGTCTTCAAAACGGAAGGCAGTCTTAAACACGGGAAGTACTCTTCAACACTKGAAGCAGCTTTTAACACRAGCATCGGTCTTCAACATGGAAGGCAGTCATATACACGGGAAGTACTCTTCAACACKGGAAGCATACCTTACTGAAGTTACAAGTTAATCGTTAAAGATATTCTCATCGTCGTAGACCTGGCTATCAAGATCATCATCTTCACTTTCATCGTATAAGCTATCTTCTTCATCGTCAACAGGGAGCATGTTGCCACATCCATTGCAAGAACAGACTTCAGTGCACTGCACATCTGACTGCGCATCTTTTCGACTTGCACTGCTTCCACGAAATAGCTTGAAAGTTGGACCGTGCTATGTGCTGAAGCAAACAATCAGAGTTAGGAAGCAGTGTCTATCGCCACTTTTACAACTTCCGCAGGCAGAAGGTAATGGCTRGAAGCTTGATGGGGAGGGACGATTGGAAATTTCGTGGATGACAAATCCATCTGCWCCTGAATCGTTGATTGAATTAGTCAAGTGCAGCTGTAAGACTGGATGCAAGTCGAAAAGATGCTCGTGTTTTAAGTCAGATGTGCATTTAAAGTGCTGCTTCCGGTGTTGAAGAGTACTTCCCGTGTTTAAGACTGCCTTCCGTTTTGAAGACCGATACCCGTGTCAGTAAAGACTCCTTCCCGTGTTGAAGAGTTCTTCCCTTGCTAAAGACTGCATCCCGTGTTGAAGAGCGATACCCGCGTCAAAGACTGCTT